TCTCTAGTTAGGGATGCCCCTGTCTTGAAAAAATCAGGGGAGATGTCTAACAACATGTAGAATCAAAGCCCCAAAAATCAAGTCATGGTGAAAGGTCTATGCAAATTGAGAATCAAAATAAGGAAAAAACTATTTAATTAATTAAAAATAAAATGTGCATCAAATGGACATGAAAATATTTCCATATTTTTCTCCTCTATTCACTGAGCAAGAGAGTATTTTAATTTTAATTTTGTAATTTTTATACATAAAGTTATGGATTTTGAAGTTCTAGGGGTTTAAATAAATATGAAAAAAACCCTAGTTATCTGCTTATCCACGTGGCACCATATCAACCTACGAAGGCTCCGAACTCCATGCGACACCACATCAACCTACGGCGACTCCAAAACTATACGCGGCGCGCTCCCATTCAACATCGCCATCCACGCGTCTTGTCTGTCAGCCTGCGGTTCCGCTCCATCTCCTCGGCCGATGCAATCAGAGCCTTCCATTTGATAAAGCGTGATCCAACGACCACGGTCATCGTCCCCAATGCCTCTAGCCTGCGAACAGTCCACCTTCAAATCATAATATCTCTCTCGATACTTAACCAAATCAAGTGAGGTTTGTTTTTATTGACTCGTCTTGATGAGACACACATCCATACGGTTAATCAAACCCTAAATCAACTCTTTGCTCATGGAGAATTAAATGAAGCTTGATTTAGGATCAAAGTTCAATACCTTGATCCAAGTGGGTAAGCCTCGATTGGATACTTGTGGAAGCTTCGTGGGGGTCCAAAGAGCCTAGGGATTGAGCCTCAAGTAGTGGTGAATCACCTAAATATGATTTCGACCAAAGTTGATTTTGGGGTTCGATCAAAGTCCACCTTAGGGTGCTTTGGTGATGGGGCTTTTGTGAGGGATCTTCCTCTCTCGCTGTGGGGATGGTGTTAGTGCAATTAATTTGGATATGGTGGAGGTTTGGTGAGTGTCCTATTTCAGCCTTAAATTTGAGCTCCAAAATTGAGCTCGAGCAGTGGATTTGAGTGGCTAAGGGTGGTTAGGTTAAGCTCAAGAGGACTCAAGGAAGCTCTGGAAGCAATTTGATAGAGTCTCCACAAGAAAATTCAAGCTCTCTTTGTTTGACAATGGAGAGTGGGTTTAAATAGAGGGGGAAGGAGAGGCCACCAGGGGTAATTGGTGGGTGCTTTAGGTTGCTTATGTGGATGCCAACAAGGTGCAAAAATCCAATTGGGATGAGCCAACTTGGGGGTGGCTTTTTCGGCAGCCAAGATGGCCGGTGTGCTAGGGAGAGGTCACCATCCCACCGAGGGAGGTCAGGGCTTGGGTTTGGTGAAGCTTGGGTTTGGTGAAGTCAATTCAATTGGGGTTGACCACGTGTAAAGGTGTTGAATTATATTTTAAAACATAATAAATTTTTATTCAAATGATATTTTAAAACAATCTGAAAATTTTGCTAGAATAAAATTAAGGTTTTATAAGCCTGTATTTTACTCAAATAAGATAGTTTGGAGTTGTACTTCACATTCAATAACACCCACAATTTTCTTCGGGTTCCCCTCACCTCATTCTTGTAAGTAGTAACCCATGTGATATTGACATATCATAAGTTCAATTTCTTCATTTAGTTTTAAACATCTAATGTTGAGTGTCATACCCGCTTATTGGAAATGACAATATTGAGACTGGTCTTCATCATTTTTATTATTTAACGGACTTAGTCACTTGACGACCTCTTCATCCTTGATGGCCATTAGGATGTTGACACGAGATATGTTGAGTGATGTGTATTCTTTTTCTGATTGAGACTCATGATTCTCTTATTGTATGAACTTTTTTCCTTTATGAGATTTGATCAATGTCCTCTACGTTATTCTTTCACTTGCCCCCCCCCCCATGGCTCTCCTTGTGTACACTGATGACCTCATTTGCAAAGATTTGACCGTCAACATGATGGGAAAGATCACCGTAAGAGTGAATTTTCTCTCATATCAATGATGAGTAGAAAAGTCCCTTTAAGAAAAGGCTCCTCTAGTAACTCTAGATCTACTCCCAAAATCTCGAGAGCTTCAGTGGAGAACCTGCGGAAGTATTACTTGAGGGATTCCCCCACATTTTGCTGAACTATCGATAAGTGGAATGTATCTTTGATGATCATTCAATTTGGTACAAATTACTCTACAAATAGTATGACAAACTCGTTGAAGGTGATGATGGTGCCTCCAAGACGGAGTAAAACCATGTGAAAGCTTGACCCTTGAGAGTCACAAGGAATGCTTGGCAGAGAAGTGCATTAAAGGTATGGTGAATGTGCATGTTGGTTCGATAATGATCGACGTGCTCGTATGAGACAGTTACCCATTCATAAGCATTAATGTTCAAGAGTTTGAAGTCCGCTGAGATAAAGTGCTGGAGAATCGCGTCAGCCAAATGAAAAGATTATTTAAAGTTGTGGCGAGCAAAAAAAGTGGTCCCTTTAATCCAGAGAGAACTCTTACCTAACCAAGCTTCATAGCACATCACAGATGATATTAGTAAAACTGATAGTAAGGCTAGGCGGTGTCAGGTTAACTATATGAGATGGATAAGTGGAACTTGTAATGTTGAGAAGATCAGCATCCCATTGCGGTAGGGAATGGTTTCATCATTAAGAGAGAACCCGTTGAGTGGGATATTTCTTATTGAATGTTGAACTGGTGTTAAAAAAGCTCAATTGGATTGTGATTTTTCCCCCCGCGCATGAGGTGAAAGATCTTGTGTTGAGACTCCTCCGTCCTACTCACTTGCTCTTTCACAGAATGACCCAAGACACCTTCATCAGCAAAGTAATATCTTCTGAAGTAGGAGGATGCAAGGCCTGATGCCCTTGGCCATGATTGTCTTTTAGAATGATGGGTGTTGGAGTGGGATACTTCGTTGTTACGAGTGTTGCATCTGGTGGCCATGAAATAATTCTTGCAAGTATTTTTGTGGTCGGAATGCTCTCTTTCCATAGTCGGCGTCAAACTGATGTGTGCTCGAAACTTCGTTGTGGTAGAGTAATGAATTATCATTTTAGTGTTGCACAAGAATTCAACACACACTCTTATAAAAGAAAACAACTAGTAGTGACATTAGAAGTTTGTAAGTAGAAAATACGTAAAAGGAAAAAAAAACTATAAGGCCCGACCTAGTTCTAAAAATCATTTATAGATTGATGATTACAGAGATCTATTATCCCACAGGAGGGAAAGGGTTACAAAGCCTTCTGAATTATATCAATGTGCAGATGAACTTGTTGAAAGGAATTTGCTGCAATCGATGGTGATCGACAATGACCATCAATGGGGGTCGACAACCGCTGGTGTGGTCTACAACGACCAGCAGTAGTCGACGGCAGTAGAAGCGGTGTTGGACTTCAGTTCATTCTCTCAAAGCTTCAAACTTTTCCTTAAGCCTCAGGCTTTTTCTCCCTTTCTCATGAGAGGGTGGGGTTCTATTTATAGAGTTTTGGGTGCAATTATTGTATGAATATAAACCACTTTGATCAGATGATCCAGAGAGGTTTCCTCGATCGGATGACATTTGAGAGCTTTAACAATGTCAGAATTGATCGATCTTGGGCTTATTGGATTTGTCTTGTTAAGACACTCAAATCAGCTATAAACTCTCCAGATTCAACATCTTTTTGACCTTCCAAATGGTCTGAATAACTTTCAAAAGTGGTTTAATAGCTTGATTTAAGCTTGATCTAACTCAAATTTGACCAGCTTTGATATCATTGGGCAGTCTTGTCATGTCAGTTAGCTTAATTATAAATTTGCTGAAGTCGAAGCTCTAGTTAACTTTGAATTTATTTAGTCAAAATATATCATTAATATCGGTGTCATGCCTCGAGATTCATGCCAGATGATGAAAATTTGTTGATTGTGTATCAACACTTACAAGTGTTGAATCTATAAATTATATATGGATCACATCATAAACCCTAAGATTTGGATGGATGAGAGGAATATAAAAAGAGAGAAGTTTAGTGCACAATAATACAAGCTCTCAGATAGTGAGTTAAGTAAACATTTTTTGAAGAAATGACCCCTATTTATAGATCATAGGGTATTTAGTAAAGTTATTTAGTTGTCTCTATTTTAATAGGAACATTACAAGTATTTATTGCACAATTTCATATTTGTAACCGATTGTAGGGCCCCTTAATATCTATAACTAATATTGACGTTGTCATATCCGTAACTGCTTGAAGAGGGGCATTTAATAACATGCTAATATTGTCATTCAATTTTCTGATAACTATTCAGTTATCTGAAAGGTCTTTGGTCGGTCGGAAGGTCTTCGACTGACCTTCCCGATAGAATCCTCAGTAGAGACCCTCATATCGTTTGAGTGAACTTAGATCACCAGGCAGAGAATGTATCACCATAATCTCGATGGCAGATCTTCTTTGGAAAATGGGCATTTGATGGACGATTGGACAAATATGGGTTGTCCTTTGACCATCTTTATAAAATCCCATAATCGGCCAAGAGAACTGATTATAAATGGTCGTCCCTTAGATGAGGTGCATCCTTTATCTTTCGTTCGGCTGACCCATGGTTCTAATAGAAGTAAATAATGCTTAAAACTCCATATTTTGACAATCCTGATACAATACTTGGGTGTCTATTAGTGAGGTCCGTTGAGTTCCCTTGAGATTGTTTCATCATATTTTTGATGTACATAAAGCTTTTTATTTTAATAGAACTATTAATTTTAGTTAAAATAAATTTAAAATGCTTATTTTCTAAAGCAATTTTTAAATAAAATTATATAAAAAAGAAAAAAATTAAAAACTCAGCCCTAAATTGAAATTAGCTCCAAATGGACATCATATATTAATTGCATGACTATCCACATATATATTATCTCACCAGCGCTGTTGAAATTTGTTAAGCGCGATTTTTTTTTTCCTAATCGCTGGTCTAAACGACAAATAACGATAGTGGAACAGCTTTTAAATCCCACTCGATGCTTCGCTCTGTGGGGCCAGACCTTCGGTCAAATACATTGGTCGGCGGTGTTCTGCCCGTACGCTTCTCGGCCCTCGCTAGGGTACAGAAAGCACGTCTCGGCGAGAAATTCAGAGAGGCTGAGGCCAGGGGTGCCGCTTGGTGCCTGCGGGGGAGAGTAGTTGGAGCGGGAGATACAATATCTTGCCGAGCATCGTCCGCATCCGTAGTTTTTTCATTATTGTTTTGCTTCTTCCCCTTTCTGCTTATCTTCAGTGATTCGCCGTGAGTTTGTACAAAAGTTTGTAGGGAGAAAGGGAGAGGGGGGTGAGGGAAGAGGACGATGAAGGACGTGGTGTTGCACGTGTACGATGTGACGAACAGCGGATCAGAGAAGACAAACAATACCATTCTCCAGATCAATAGGATCTTCAAAGACCGCATCGGTCTCGGCGGCATCTTCCACAGCGCCATTCAGGTCATCATGCTGACCCCTAAGGCCATAACCTTATAATTTCACTTCATTTCATTTGTTTTGTTTGGAATACAAAGTTTTGTCCTCTTGAGTTTTTCTGATCCCCGCTTGAGATGATCTGTTTCCATTCTTGGAATTGCTACTGCTATTTGCTCTTTATCTTTTTTTTTTATTGAATTGTTTATAGATCTTGTGTGGGAACTGAAAGCAGAGCTCATTCTTTGGTAGTTGTGAAGAATCTTGAGCATGCCAGTGTTCCATTGTCCATTTTTTCAAGATTAACTTTCTAAATTTAATGCAACTAAGATTTTACATTGGAAAGTGTTGATAAGAGGGATCAAATATTTTAGTAACTGTTATATCCCGAAATTTCTTTTTCGAACACACTTTGAGAATTAGAGTCGAGTGAATGAGAAAACTAGGAGAGAGTGAGTAGAGCAAGTCTGGAATTTCTTGTCGCAAGAGTCCCGTCTCGGGGTCTCATTTAGTTGTATTTTTGTTCCCTATTTATGAGAATGTATTTTTTACAATTACAGAGAAGAAGAAACAGTTATGGAAAACACTCTTAATGTGATTGAATCATTAATTTTTTATATGACTGTCATGTCATATTTGCATTACAATTTGAATTTCAATTATGATGATGATCTACACTGGCTTGACTTCGGTCGTCTGAGACGACCGACCAAGTGACTATTGTGCCCTTAGACGTACGTGTCTATCGGTCGTGGTGTTTGGCCGCGTGATGGTCTCGTTCGTTGTGGATCGATTGGTCGGATGCGGTTGGGCTCTCCTACGTGCATCCTAGTTGGTCTGGACCGCAGGCTTGGTCGACCTGTAGAGTCTCTCACTGCGGGAGATTAGTCGAATTTTTCCTGTCGGGACGGTGGTAGGGTTGTTTGCCTGTTCTTTGTTTGGGCCATCTAATAACTTTGAGATTTGTGTTGGTATTTTTGGTCTACACATATTAGTTCCCCTAGTTCTCTTGCTCTCATTGATTAGCGACTGCTACAATAATGACAGAGAAATTATTAAACATTTGTTAGCATAAATTTTGTGAATTGATTGAACAGATGACTTCCCTTAGGATTCCGTCCCCCGAGTGCTTTATAAATGACATGAACCGAGTGCTTTATAAATGACATGAACCGTCAGATTTTTTCTTCCACTTGAGGTGCGTTATGGCTGACGGTACAAAATGGATTGTCCGGATCCTCAGAGGCTGGAGAAGGCGGGGTTTCAGATTACCTTTTTTGTAAAGAAGAAGAAAGTGACAACAAAGGAAAAATAGGCGCGACCCGAATCTAACCAGGTCGGCGTAGTCAACTCATCTGACGATGTTTAAAATCCGTCGCTAAAGAGGCCTCGTCGAGGGGCCTTGGAGTCTGGTCTAGGTGCGAATGTTGAGGGCAAACAAGTTGTTTTGGTTGTGGTGTGTGGCAAGAAGTTGGAAGGGATGACTATCACGATTCTTCCTTAGTTGCTGCCACAGGAGAGTGCGGTCGCCTCGGCGCTGGAGGAAGATGAGGCCTTTAAGATTCTCCTCCATGTAAAGATTTATGTATGAATTAGCTAGGTTGGAGGAACGCTAGGATGGTGGGTTGTTCATGGTTGCTGCAAGTCCGCCCCTACCACGGTGGTTGGTTTGCAGCTTGGAGATGAGAGGTTTTTGCCGCCATTGGCTCCGATAATTCATCAGCTGCTCAACCTCTCGTTTGTGGCAGATCTCCATCTGAGGGCACCAACGAAAAGAATTATCCCTGGAGATCATGGTGTAGTGAGCAGGCGAGACCATACCGTCGGCAGAGCCAATTAGCCCTTCCGAGGGAGTTGCTGGGGTTTGGTTCCGAATTTTGTGCAGGAGCTGTTCGCTCACCTGAATGCTGAAGTAGCGGCTCTGTGGACGGAACTTGTCGCTATTCATGGTGGGTTGACCGAGGTGTTGCGCAAGCTGGGGCACTTTGCGAGTTGTCTGACCTGGTGAAGTTCAACCGGGAAGCTGATCAGGTGGATTAGATTAGGTTTGGTGGAGAGTTGGTTCTCTGACAGTTAAGGGTGCATGTTCCTTCTGAGGTCTTGGAAGACACTTTCATAAAACACTTCGTTTGAGGTCTGCTCTAATGTTGTTCGCAATAAAACAACATTTTAATAAATTTTTGAAAGATGTTTGGTATAATACTTATCATTATGTGATGCTTCGTTTTATGTGCCCATCTTATAATTAGGAGGGGTCGTTTTTTTTTACTTTACACACTTTTAGCTCTTTCTTTTCCTTGGGTCTTCTTTTCTTCCCTCGTCCTTTGACTGGTCCCGCTTTTGTCTTTCAGAATGGCCCCTAAATACTTGCCTACCCTGTTCGGCTTTGTTAAGAGCTCCGAACCTTCGTTGCTTACGGATAACAAGGTGATAGAGCTGCATGGAAGGTATATTTTTAATCATAGCATAGACCTTCAGAAGTTGCCTGGATCAACACGAGCGACATATTTTCTGGGAAAAGACCTAGTCTTCTATCGATACCAATTCAATATGGCCTGTTGTTGTCCCTGTGCCAGGAGCTCCGAAGTGTCTTCAACACTTACAAGATTATTCTGACACAAGTGATGCCGAACGACATAGCCATGATCATGACTTCAATTCTTTTTTTTCGGCGGGAGAACCTCACGTGGTTGATCGACATTTTCAAATATTTTTTCTCGTTCAAGGTCGGAAGAACTATGCCATGTTTTTAGCGGACAAGGAACTCAATCTGGTAGGAGTGGAGAAAAAAGAAAGGATTGGAAAAAGTTCTTAATCAGTTCTTGTTCTGATGCTTGGGGAATCCAGACCAAGCCGTCAGCTAAATCGATGTCTCTCCTTGAGGGTATGACCATTGCTCTGGAGATGCTGACCAATCGTCGTCTCTCGGTTCCTCAATATACTGCCGAGGCGACGGTTACTCGTTTGTTGACAGTTAAGATGATGGAGGAGCAGTGACACGACTCAAACATCGTAGAGGTCCGAGCGAAGGCGATGAATAAAAAGTTGGTCTCCAAGAGTCAGAAGCATAAGCATCTCCTAGAATCAGGTAATCTTATAGGAGATGAGGACCCACTCCCTCACAACATGGCCTAGAGATACCTCATTTCTACGCCTGCTCATAGCATTGTTGTTCAAAATAAAGTGACCGACAAGGTCACTATCATTGCCCAAAAATATGTTTCTCATTCTAGTGATGCAGGGGAAGGAGAGACGAGAGAGCTTCAGCTTTCGAGAGAATCTCGGATGAGGCCACTACCTAAAGTTTGTTAAATGTACTCCGTCATTGTAGTCATGTATGGTAAACTAAGGTCTTATTGAAGAATTTATAGGTCATAAATATTTGATCTATGTCGACAAGTATTATCATCAGAGTTTATGTTAGAACATTTTAACAAAATTGAACCTAATGTAGAGCAAAAATCAAAACTTAGTCTTAAAAGTAAATTTGAGTTCATGTTTTGAAACTTTAAATAGAATTTGTGTCCCTAAACCGTAAAATTAAATAACTTCTACTCACTAAAGTCATCAGATCAATTAATTAATATAATATAATTATTAATCGATTCTCTACAAAAATTTTCGTTTGGATAAATAATCTATCGGTACTGATTTTCTTTAGGTTCTTGTTTACGTGGCTTAAACGTGCATAAAAGAACTTTTTTTATTGATGATAATTTTTATGAATATACTCATTTATTTTTGGCAATATTTTTATAGTGTATTGATTTGCTAGAATAGAAGTATTTTGGCAATATTTTTATGTGCATCATGTTATATTGTGATATTAACCATTCATTTATATGATTTGTTGAACATATTCTCACGAAACTTGCTATTAGTATGAAGTTGTTAACATGAGCATGAGATATAAAGTTTAAACTAAATGTTAAGGAAATGATTTAAATGCATCTCAAATGTTTTTTCTAATGAAATTTTGGGAAATTAATTGTTAGAAAAACACGGTCCTGTAGTTCTATGCAATGCTTTGGGATCTGTGATGTACATATATGGATATGGGACACAAACATAGGCATGTAAATGATATGACACTTATACTAGACATTTTTATTATTGAATATATATAAATTAAATAAATATGAAATGAATTCATATAAAAAAATATTTAATTGCTAAAAAAATAAGAAACATATTTTAATTTATTAAATACCTTAAACTTGATTGTAGAAAAAAAGTCACATCATATTATAGATTGTTAGCTTATAGTTGAAAAAACTGATCCTTTTGTTTAAAACTAATAAGCATTATAAAAATCATAAAAATTGGAATAGAATAATGAAAATAAATTGTGTTAAATAGCTATTAAGTTATTTTAAGTAATATTTTAAAATAAAAGAGAAGTGAGGCTAAAGTTATTTTATGCTATTTAAAGTTATAATTTATTGCCAAGGATGGATGTGTCAAACATTGTGCATTTTTTTTCTCTTTTAATTGGTTCATACATATTTGGCGTGTCAGTGTGTCATAGATTGAATGAATGTCCTTTAGTTGAAAAATCCGATTTAACTTCTTATCCTGAACCATCAACTAAAACTTTAGATTCATATTTTTTTCAATCTTCTTTGAGTTTCATCTAACATTTCACTCACCCATTGCCTAAACAATCATGTTGACCTTATTATTGATGTTATTATCTGGTTTGAAGTATTGCCCACTATTGATAGTAGTTATTAAAAGTGTTTTGTGTTGTGGAGAGAGATAATTATGGGCGATGCGTCATGGATATTTTTGAAGAATATCTATGATCTCGGCCGGGATATGTTGGAAGTATTGATTCAACTTATCTTTGAAGTAGAGTTGATGTAAATATTCAGAAGTCCTCACAGCTCGTGTGGCTTCCATCCCCTATGATTAGTTATTGAGGCTCCTATAGCATTTTTATGTTGTTGCTTTCTATTTTTGATGTTTTTTTTAATTGAGTTCTATAGCTTTTTTCTTGACCTTGTAATGTGGTATTGGTTTATGGG